CAGCCCGGGGGTGAATTAAAGCCACTGGGTCTGGGACTTGAACTGCAGTCGACTACATGGGAGTCCAGCAACATAGCCATTATTCCAACTGCTGGTCCCAGCTTTTGTATAAATTCTTTAACCTGCCTTTGAATATCACCATGCTAAAATGCAATCTCTCCTGGTTTTCTTGCCCCTTAAAATTCTTAAAATGGAACTTTATATTCAACTATACTTGTTAGCTTACTATTGTGTCTTCAGGTGTACCTTGTACTTTTCTTGCTTTTTGTACTTATTGCTTGGAATATTTTTTCCTGACCTTTGGGTAAGCAGATTCTATCCATTTGCTAATATCTGGTTAAAAAACCTGTATCTGACCAGCAGGCGGCTTGGTGGTGAAGGTGCTGGACACTCCCATGTGGCCGACCATGGGATAGATGAAATGCCTTGCAATCATTAAATATTGTTTTGGAATTTTTAAAATGGCCTACAAAGTTGCTCATCATAAAAGGTTAAGTGAGGGAGGGTGTCCAGAGTAGAATGGATAGTATCATTCCATTTTTGTAAAAAAAACAACAGATGTTAACAATGAGTGGTGGGATTATGGCTGATTTTTGTGCTCTTTATTTCTTTGTTTTATAATTGTACTGTAATTTGTATGTTTTACATACAAATTTTACATTTCTAGTCCCGGACCTGGTGGCTTGGTTTCTCACTTTCTCTCTGTGTGTCTCTCTCTGGTCAAATTAAAATAAATGAATGAATAAATAAAATTAATTTTTTTTAAAAAAAACATATCTACAGTGACATTCCTGGCTATTCCAGCTAAAATTGAACTTTGCAGTTAAACCCATTTATACTTATTTTTGCTTAAGCATGTCTCAAACACCACTTCATACTTGTACATTAATTTTTCAATTCTGTTCTAAGTTTTGTGAGGGCGAGAAAGCTCGTCCTGTATCTGTCTCTGTTCCTTACTGCTTGTAGCACAAACTGCAGAGTAGGCTCTCCACTTACTCCTTGGTCATGCTACAGTGGCATCACTGACCATTCTGAGCCCAGTCGTTGGAATATTATGTCAACTAGTGATCCTAGCTAACATAAAAGGATCAACCCTTACTATTCTACTACAACAGTGCAGTACAATAAAAAACTGGTAATTCTACTGAATTGTCCATTGATATATGGTAAAGAAGTGACAATATTTTTCTTTTAATTTTTTAAAAGAATTATTTTTATTTAACTTTACTTATTATTATTATTATTTTCCAATTTGATCAGAGACAGAGAATGAGGGCGAGAGAAAGTAAGAAAGCAAGTCACCAGGTCTAGGACTTGAACCATGGTCAGCCATATGGGAGTCCAGTGCCTTCAACCAGCATGCCACCTGCTGGCCCCCCATCTTTTCTTTTTTTTTTTTTTTAAGAGATTTTTGCTATAGGGTGTGTGCACTTGCAGGAGAGACAGACAGAAAGTAAGATATCCCGGGGTGGGGGCTGGCCATACCACAATCCCTTCTCCATTCCTCTCTTAGGATCTTGGGCATGCATACACATGTGCCTAGAGTTTTAAGCCACCAGGTCCAGGACTTGAACTGCTGTTGACTACCTGGGAGTCCAGCAACATAACCATTATGCCATCTACTGTTCCCAATAATATTTTCCTTCAAACTTAACATCACAGCTGGAAGTTGGTTAGTGACCCAACATAATTTCACAATATATGTATATGTGTGTGTGCGCGTGTATTTTTTTCAGAGATTTTTTTTTTCTATAGGGCCTTGTGCGCTAGCCAGAGAGACAGAGACAGAGACAGAAAGCAAGAAATCACCCCCCAGGGAGGATGGCCATGCCATAGTCCCTTCTCCATTCTCCTCTGGGGATTTTGGGCATGCATATACATGTGCCTGTATGAGTTTAAGCCACCAGGTCTGGGACTTGAACTGCGGTCATTATGTGGGAGTCCAGCGACATAACCATTATGCCATCTGCTAGTCCCCACAAAATATTTCTTTTAAAAATTTCTCATGAAGTTTATAGGGGCTTGATAGTAGTTTGATTTGTAGCCTTCCCAGAGGCATAGCTGTGTCTTACATGTTTTTACAGCTACTGTTTCAGAAACCTGGAGTTTGATGACAGATTAAATGGGCCATCTCAGTCACTGTTCTCTGAAACACCTTAGGAGGTCATGTTGGGAGACGGAATTGTAGTGTGTTGCTTTGTGTTCAAAAGCTAGTATTTTTCCTTCTATTACTGGAAATATAATTGTGCCTATTTCCAAGCTTGATTATACTTAGGGGTATTTTTATCTGGTCAATGGTAGATACCTTTTTAAAAAAAGTTGGTTTATTTTAATTTACAGTTGTTTACCAGAACTAACATAGGTGATGAAAAATACCTTTTCTGGTCAAGGTAAATAATTTGATTATAAAAATCCCAGGGTCTAATAGAAATGAAAGTTTATATAAAAAGACCCATTCAGCCATGCATAGTAATATAATCCCAGGCCTTAAAGAAGTGATTTTAGTAATAAGAATTTTACTAGTTCATACAAAATGATGACTTAAGTTATTGGGGCAACTTTTACTAGAATCATCTTGGAACACTGTAGCTTTTTACCCCCTCATATTTTTGCAATTAAAGATAAAATTCACATAACATTCAATTCACTGTTTTCACTATTATAAATTGTATGGTAAGGTGGCTTTTGTACATCCAGAATATTGTACAACATTTATGTAGTTCCTATAATTCAATAACTTTTTCATTACTCCAAAAAGAAACCCTGTAATTCATTAACTAACATCTTTCTTCCCTAGCTTTC